TAAGTATTTATTTTTTTATCGCATAATCCTTTTGAATGTGAAATATTAAGCGATTTGCCCTCTTAGAGTTAAAAACGGAGTAGTTCATTAATAATTATTAGATTAAACAAGTATTAAGTTTTTGCTTTATGAATATTTATAGATACATTCAATTTGAATTGAACTCGTTCTCGTGTTTTTATTATTAATATCCACTAATATTTGGATTGAATTTACATAGAAATTGACAATAACAGTACTTTTTACGAAATTATATTTCAATCACTTGGTTTGCGGCGATTCAGGAAATGTACTGCGCTCACGAGGACTGTAAGTGCGTCTAAATTAGAGTTAATCGCATGGCCACACTGAGAATTAATCGCTCTATTCAATACCAAAAGTAAATTATAAAACCAACATGCAAAGTGTATTCAATTTAAATACAACTCTGTGGCCATTTTCCAAAAGCTGGTATTTTAAATTTGGCAACTTTTCAAGAACAAATTAGAAATTTCAATAACGTTTCAATACCTATCGTTAATAATTGCGAAAACCTATTTGTGCGGGTGAGCCTTTGAATACAAGTTACGGAATTATATAAATACGTGTACGATTTATTGGTAAGTGTATGATTTTACAAGTTTTTAACTATCGTGCGCAATCATAAGGTTTCCTCCCCTATTTTTAATTATTTCAACGTCGTCTAGTCGGGCAGGCACATTGTCCCGACAACACTAAATTGCCATGAAAAGAATGTCAATAATGAATTTCGGTAGACATGTTTGCCCATAGCGTCACTGAATCGTCTGTGTGCTGTTCTGTGGTTTGTTTGATGATTTTTTCCGGTTCTATGTGCAAGTATAAATGTTGTCATCTGTCATTCCGTAACCTCTTAGTTCTCTCCCGTCTGGTAAAATACAATGACCTCAACAGTCGCGGCAGCAAGTGCGGATTGCCCGGGGGCGGCTATTTCGCGGCGCGAGCAACAAGCCGGTTTTTGACGACTTCCCCTCCCACGTCTATCAACCGACGTCGCATTTGCGTGACCGCCGTTCCGTGAGATATGACAATTGTACTTTAGATTGTCGTTAATTTAGCTGGCGTTTTAAATAATATTTTCTAGACGACCACCGAGTGTTTGAAATCGGACTGCGGCAAAGTAACACCAATAAATTGTAATTAAGTGTTACAAGGTACAACGTTATTTGTTGTCCTACGACAATTGTCATAAAAAGTCAACTCGATAGAAAACGTGAATTAAAAGTGCTTCGTATCGATTCAACCGTAAATCCTGTCGTAAAAATAACTGCGACCAACAGCAATATTTTTATGTGCACAAAGCGTGCGCTTTTAATTATGACGTCACTTAGAGACCGTTTAATTTAATTGACACTTATTTTTAGCGAACTTCGACGCTTTTTAATTGTTCTACACTAAAGGAAACTGGTTCCAATGAACTTAACCGATACACGTATTACGTCGTTGTATATATTCGGCTACACTTGTACAAAGAAAGTATTTTATCATGACAAAATATAAATGCTATTGTCGGAAACTATTGTAATGAGAAGCATTAAACTATAAGTTTATTATAAAACTTTCGTAATTGTCCGGTAAAAATTGTAATAACCGTGAGCACGTGACAAACGTTGATGAGCGTAAAATTTTCAACAAAGTTATCACCACGGCGTCTGTTAAGACCAGACTTTGTACTGACACTAATTGATAAACTCTGTTATACTTAATAAAAAGTTTGGAATGATAAAATTATCAGAGGTGAGGTTTAATACGCTTTTCCATTAAAGAAAATTAAACAAATTTCATGAGCATCGACGCTTTGTTAAATGAACACAATATAAAATGAACGGCTTGGAAAAGTTTCCAACTTATTTTATAGTAAACCGATAGACGCATATAAAAAAAAGAAAGTAATATGTGGAGGTTATGACGTGTTAACTGTTAAAAACTATTATCTCACTTATTGTTCAACAATAATTAAACACATTTTCTGTTAAATAATGTTAGAATTTGTTCATGTCAATTGTTGTTCTCCAACTAAATATTCTGTAAGAACAGCAATTTCAGATTTCAGACGTGACCATTGTGATTTCAACTAACTTGTATAAACTGATTTAACTTTGAACATCACTATGCCGTTTTCATATCAACTATTAGATAGATTTTATGAGTAACTTTGTGTTAAATGATTTCATGTAGATATTATTAACATTCCAAGTGCCACTTATTTAGCATATCCAAATAATTGATTGACAATGCATTGTAGCGTAATTAATAGGTAAAATGCTATAAGTCATCTCTAATTATTTTTATAAAATCTGTAATTATTAAAGATAAAAATGTATTTCGAACGATGTATTATTTTTGGTATTGGCTTCTCATAGGATGTTAACAAAGGTTGTATCTAGTCTTATGTTCAGAACAAGGATAACATATAAATTTTCAAAGATAATTTATTAATATTTTTACTTTAATTAAAACGTATAGTCTCAACTCTTATTTTAAAATTAAATTGAAAAAATAAAATCATTAAATAAGTTCCATTTTTTCAAAATTGTTCGTTTATTATTTATTAATTTGTAAATAATTCTATGGAGAAATTACCATAGTAACAATTTTTTGGTAGTTACTATTATTATTAAAATAAGTTAATAATGATGCCATACCAAAAAAACACTTCAACACTGATTTATTAACAAATTTTATTTGAAAAATTTAGTTGCAAGTTATAATTACAAATATTAAAATCATTTTTTTTTTTACTGTTTATAGTTAGTAAAACATGTTTTCAATAATTGAAATAGAATTATTCTATTTGACAAAATAAGTTACTAATAATTCGATTAGTTCACGTGTTATTTTGTGTTGCGTTTTTATAAATACTTTACTAAAGGAATTACATTTTTGATTTTCGAGTAATTAAGCTTGTTAAAATTGGTCAAAAACTGAATATAACCAATTTATGATCATTTATAATAGTAAATTCTATAACACGATTTTGAACGATAGAAAAAAAAAACTATGAAGTTAAAGTAAAATAATATTCCAGGAATTATGTATAGGTAATTTATGGACAGCCGACAATGACAGATTACACTAATATCCAGGTGAGGTATTTTATGTTATATCTATTTAGCATATAAAACATGCTGATACTATGTAGCATCGCTAAAATACATAAATACGCAAAGAATTTTATAGCAAATGGAATTCTGTAACAGATTAAAATATTTTTTGTGTAAAAAAAAATCGAAGGGAACAATAAAAAGGTTACCTGATTGTACTGTATAATAATAATAATAATGATTGTAGGATGTTTTTTTTTTTTTAATTGATACCGTCGGTGGTGGTTAGTACATCGTGGTAATTACCTTTTAAATTTCGACACAGGTGGTCAGTATTTAAAAATGGAATAGTAAATGTGTTTTTAAATTAAATTGTTTTCATAAAAAAAACTATTTACAGAAGTGTAATGTATATATGTATATTACACTTCTGTAACTATAGTTACAAAAAAAAATAGTAATAACCAAAGATTATTAATAATGAGTTTTTTTTATATAATAATATCATTTAATAGATGTAAAATCGCACAACTTAAATTTATAAAAAAAAATGTTATAATTTTGTCATAAAAAATAATCAAGGATTAATTATGAACTAGTGGTTTTAATGTCACATTATCAGACTGAAGTCAACCAATCTCAACAATACAGAGCGTACCTGCGGTTAGCGAAAGGCAAAAAGTTTAGCGTCACTGTCTCATGTGGCTGAGTTTTGGCAGAGTTTGTTTTGCGGTATCAATAATAATATTTGTTTTTGTAGAAAGTTGATTTCGGGTAGATAAATTTGGTAACCAGGTTAACCATACCCTGTGTGTCTGTTAGACAATTTACCGCGTTCGTTCTATTGAATGTCCCGTATTATTACATAAGGTCATTTTGAATAAATCACTTTAGTTATTTGTTAATATGATTTTTCCATCTCATAAAATAATCTGTGAACGGTCTAATGATTTACTATGTATGCATTATTTAACATTAAGCACGTTATGTAATATTATAATTGAGTGCATTTTATAGCAATAGTCTGCTGACTCGTACTGATTTCTCATTTTTCATATTGATCACAAATGTAAAACAGTTTTTAAACAAAGGTTAATTAAAACTAACAATTTATTTTTTTAGGAGAAATTTCAATTGTATAATGGAAAACTATTATTAATTCTTTTGTTTCAATTTTATATTATTATTAAAAAAAAAAAATTCCATTCAAAGATAACAGATTTTCTGCAGCGACAAGGTTGGTACAAGGTTCCATGGTGGTCAGTCTAATAAAGTGAATTGTGAGATTGGCTTGTATTATGCCATAAGATACAATACTCGTGTATTGTGGTGCTGTGACACTTACCCAATCCGGTTTTTATTTGCATGTCAAAAACGAATTTTATCAGCTACGGTAATGTATCTGCAGAAGAATTTTGTTTTGTAGTAAAAATATTAACGTCCAAACATGGATTTTTACCTTCAATAAGAATTATATGTTGTCAAGCAGCATCTAAATTATGTCATAAAACTATTTTACGTTAAACCGCATTATATGTATACATACACATGTCTATTGGAATGAACATTTCAATTTCATATTACACAGTATTCTCCTCTTAGTATACCAAAAAAATATAAAAAATATTGATGATAAAATTATTAATCATTAATATAATAAAAGTATTAAAAATAGTGCAACAGTTTTATAGTAATTACAGTAGGCTGACTATGCACGTAAAAATTATTGATTTCAATATGCATCTTTAAGGCAAAAGAGTCCAAGTGCACTTTTATTTGCCGTCAAATTGTAGTATTTTCAATGTGCACTACGAAAACATTTTATGAAATTTTCTCACGCGTTGTTTATAAAATTTTTATTTTAGTAGCGTGATAACATTTACCACGATATTGATTAATAATAAAATATAAAATACTAAATGTAAATCCACATAGACATGAAGTTAAAACTATTTGATTTATTTAAAAAATTATTAGGGTTTACATTTTCTATGGTTAAGGAATTGTTTTAAAAGTTTTATAAAGCTAAAAATTAATTTTGGCCAAAGTATACTCTAAAAAATAAACACAATATACAGAATATTTGAACCTGAAATTTTCAAAATCATTTGTCATTGGAGAAAAAATATACATTTATGATATTTTTCATTGTGAAGTTATCCCATCTAACTTAAGTAAAATGAAATCATATAAAAACAGTCTGATTTTTCTAAAGAGCTGCAAAATGTGTACTGTACCCAGTTGTCTTTCACAAGAAGACAATTATAATATAATACTTTTATTTACACTTAAAATGTTTACAATCTCAAATCAAAAATTAAAAAAAAAATTTGACCATAGAATCATTAGATATCAATTGTATATAAATAAAAATAATTTTAATGAATAATAAAAAAATCAAAGAACAAAATAACCAAAAATTAATTTATTAAAAAATTTAATTTAAATAATTAGTTAAGAGTACATAGTTTCATCAATGCAAAAAATAATAGTTGAATTTTGGTGACCGGTTTTAATGAAATTTTAAACACAAAATAAGCATCATATGCAGCTCTTAATTTTAATATTTTATTTAATAGTAAAATAATATATTATTGAAATGTTTTATAAACAAGCGTCTAAACATTCTTTTTCAGTTTCAAAACGATTATTATTACCAAGACAACCTCCGTAAACGAATGTTTTGCAAGTTTTTGTAGCATCATCAAAATGATATTTGATAAAGTAAGCCATACACACTCTTATTTGACCACCAATTTGAGGTGGCAGCAAACAATCACCTGAAAAATAAAGGCAACGATTCCAATGTTAATATTAATTAAAATATTCATAAAATCATTGTTCAATACATTTATTTTATTCCGAGAGTAAATGTTTAAACTAATATGATCTTAACGAAATATTTTCAAAAACATAATCACAAAACAAGAAATATGTGATATTGATATGCATAATAATCTACAAAAATATTATTGATGATAAAAAATCATACATATTAAAACATAAAATTACTATTCCCAAATGATTTAATTTTAAAATTCTACATAAGAAAAAGTAAAGTCAAGCTTTTTTTTTTAAATTGATAATGATAATGTTGTAAGCTTAAATATTTTCAATTAAACATTTTTCTTTTCATTGAATTTTTCAGAAATGTTCAAGGGTAGTTGAATATTTGTAAATTTAAAATATAATTATTTCTAAATTTTTATATAAAATTCAGTATCATTTAATAATCAGTTTAGTAATGGTGTTAATGGTATTACTGTATTAAAATCATGATTTTGATAATTGAAAGTAATCAATTATCAGACTTACTTTGAAATTAAAACTACAGTAAATGTTCAATGTTTAGTTGTTAAAACAGATCGAGGTAAGGAAGGGTAAATTGACAAATTCAGTATTTCTCAAAAACAATCTCACATAGCAACACATTCTTATAAACATAAAAAGCGATTGTGATACACTCTGTTACTCACTTAACTAACACATGCGCACGCACGTTAATTTGATTTGTAGTTAGAAATTTATATTTAGCGTGTTATTAGTTTTGTATGTAGTTTTTGAATAATTAAAATTAAGGTATTAATAATTATGATAAATTTTTCAATTCTCACTCTTAAATATTTGTAAGTCTTACTTAGTACCTATTAATTCATGAGAGATTAAGATTAAGTTTATAGAATTAAATCCTATTATTTTACAAAAGTTTTCGCTACAAAGTTTATTAATCGTTTTCATAATTATAGCTTATAGTGCGGAAAAAAAGAAAAATATAACAATCTTTAGAAAAACCTATGTTTTATTAATTTATTATTAAATTGAAAGAAAAAATCGATAACAATAATAGTATTAGGAAAAATATTAAAGATATACTAATGCAGATTTTAGATTTTGAATCCATTTATTGAAGTCAAAAAAAATCATTGAAGCTTAACCTCGAAATATTACCCCACCTTACCCTATCCTATTTTAAACATAATTTAATATTTTATTTTTAGTAGTAAATAGAGTCCTATGATCAGGGCTTAAAGTACGAAGACAAGAAGAGCTTCTACCAGTAAAAGTTCTTAAAAAACGTCCACTTTAAGAATGTTTTGATAAAGTCTTCAAAGATGTTAAATTTTATTACTAATTAAGTATGATAAATGATAAATTATCATTTAAAACCAAATGATAAATTGCTAAAAATTGGTTTTATAATAGTACGCGATAATGGTATCAGCTATTGTACAAAACATTAACCTTATATAAATTTATTAACCTTTAAAATATGAGTTATGATTTAAAATATAAGTTTAATCGTGATATGAATACAAAAATAGTTTATCATATCTGGTAATCAGTTATAATAACTTGTACCAAGACTTTGTTTAATAAAGTGTTATCAAAACTCTTTTTTTGTTTAAATCTCGATTGACAAAATTTCAGAATAACACATCTTAATATGATGTTTAGTCAATTACAATTTTTTCTTTCAAAATTATTAGCTATATAAATATATAAATGAGTTAATGGCAAGATTTATTGTAGGTATTTTTGAGAAACATAGGCATTATTTGAACAAAATGTAGTGGTAAACTTAACTTCTTTCCTCTGTAATAATATTACTATATACGTTCACATGTAATTTTTATAATTAATATAGGTCTATTACAGAATTAGATAGCCAAAGTCCTCACTAAACTCCTCTAAATTTTGATCCTTTAACATAAAAGTAATAAATAGTATATATTACAAGAAAAATTATGTTTTTAAAATTGTTTGACTGTTTTCAAACAGTTGAAAATTTACATTACTAGGTAACGGTAACAAGCTATGTTCTAAGCCACTTTTATATATTTTACCTAAAATTGTTTAAATGTCAAAAAATATTAAATTCGACGTAAAGTAAAGTTATTATATATTTAAATAATAAAAAAAAAAAAATGTTTCCCCCTTTATTTATTGTCTAACTATTTCAAAATTAATAACATAATTGTTCTATTTTAAAATGATAATCATTATAAAAACTATTGTATTTTCTATTGATTGAATTATTAGTTATTTTTCATTTCGAAAAATTCAAAAAATTTTTTTACAGTAAATTAAAATCAATAATTGCAGAAAATTATAATACGTACTTAAAAAAATAGGTACTTTTGAAATTAAAAATATATCATAATTTTAATAAAAAAATAATTAAAATTTTTCTTTCATGTAATAAGTGTCTCTAAAAATATTTAGAGACATTTATTGTTATAATTCAATAAATTTTTAGTTTTTGAACATACTTTTTGTGAAAGGGTGTGGTGGTGGTTCTGTCCAGTCTGGTATGTCCTCAACTCTTGATTCACGTATTGTTTCAACTGGCACAGCATTTATAAATGATGTTAAACATAACACAGTAGATAAAAAAACTACAAATGAAATTTTCGGAAACATTTTCCCCGAAACTTTATTTCCGGATGTTATATTTCTACTGCAATCGTTTTGTTAAATATTTTAAATGTTATGAAGGTGAAAAGTAATAGCCATTTACTAATAGGTATTTATATCACATTATTATAGATAAAATCTGGTAGAAACTATATAAAATATGAGATTGTGTATTACAAATAAGGTTAAAGGTTAGGTATTATTAAAATCATATGATTCTACTTCTTGTTATAAACCAAATTATATTGATATTACGTTGTCTTGACAAAAATACAATTGAGTTATTGATTTTAGATATAGCAATATTTTCTTGTATAACTATGTTAAAATATTTTATTAATTTTTAACCATTTAATATCAGAAGCTATACGTACTAAATTATTTATATAAATTATATATTTTAACAGTAAGAGAAATAAAAACATATTTTGAGTTTTAGAATTTATTCTAGTATGGTCAAGTCATACAAATAGTTAAATTTATTTTTATTTTATAAGCCATTTTTAGTAAACTTTTAATTTACTAAAAAACAAGCACAATGGGGTCGCGGTACAATGAGAAAGTGGCATAGTTGGGTCAAGTATATTGATATCTGACAGTAATTAAAATAACTATCATAAAAACAATTCGATGTAATTCTTTAGAATGTTTAATTTTAAAAAATTGTTGGATTATTCCAAAAGCTACATGATTTACTATTTCTTTATTTATATTCTGATTAAGATAAAGTATGTCGAATGAAAGAGGGATATAAATATTATTTCTCATAAAAAAATTGTATTGATCCATACATTTTTCAAAATGTTATAACATTTTTAAGTTAAAAATTCAAAATATAAAATCAAGAATTTTAACACAATAATAGCATACGGTATCCATTTTCACCGTGAAAACAAAATAAAGTCCGAAAATTTTTTTTTCCATGATAAAGTATATTACATTAGCTTTAATTTACGATATATATAAAAGTGTCAAACTTTCCAGAACACTTTCAAAAGTTAAGTTGATAAAGTTAATTTTTTGTGAAAAAGTTGTCATTTTAAACCCCACATTTGTGCAAGTAAAGGGTTAAATTTATGAAAAAAATATACCAAATAAAAAGTAAAGACATCATGAGTCTACAAAAAAAAAAATGATATCGATTTTCTTATTTTTAAAAGAGTTATGGCAATTTTAAGTAAAAAAAATTGAAAAATTGTCAAAGATTAGCAATTTTTAAATTTGTAATTTTTTTTGGAGATTTCTTCCATTTACGGGGTATGATGGAAATTTTTTCTATTTTTGAGGGTAATGTCTTCGACTAAATGCGATTTGTGATCTTTTGACGTATCGTTGAAAGAAATCCGTTCGGTGAGAGCTGATAAAAAGTGGTAACAGACACAAAAAAAAAAAAAAATCATCATAGTAAAACCAATACCTTCTTAGCTTCGCATCGAAGCTAAAAATAAAAAAATATTCTAATATCAAGAAAATTATAATTTGAATTATTATGAATTTATCTTTGCTTTAAAAGTTTCATAAAATAAATATTTTCAATCAAAATATAAGAAAAATTCAAATAATTATTTCACATGAAATAATAAAGTTTTATTGCCATTATCGTTTCACTTTAAAATATATTATTTATATTTAGAATTCTTTAATTTACATGCAATGTTTTTTTATTAATATTTAAAAATAATTAGGAAGTTTTTTAAAATACAATATGATATAAAATTATATATTTTTTAATTCATTGTATACACTATATATGTTGAATATATATTTTAATCATCTATATTTTTATTATTATAAATCTGTAAAAATTTAAAATAATCTTGTATTTTAATTATATTTTGTTAAATCAATCAATATCCTTTTATCTTACAGGTTAAAAAATATAATTTTCTCTTTACTGTTCATTTCTCAATTCAACTCATTTATTCTCAAATTTCTATATCAATAATTTAGTTATTTTCACTTAATATATAACCATCTATTCTTAATAATGTTACTACTTTACTATTTCTCATTTGTATTTTATTAAAACGAATTATCAACCTGTAATAATATTTAGTAAAAATAATAATGATAAAAAAATAATTTTTTAAAATGTAGTATTATGTGTTTCAATTTGTTTCAAAAACAGTTTTGAAAATTTTGTGTCACGTGATAAATACTGTAATGCGTAAAAAAAAAATTTCATACTAATTTCTTCCTTTTAATAAACTAATATTCGACGTACGTTTATACATTTTATTATTTTAAATATTATTATGATAACTTTAATGTAGATTTAAGTGCAAGATACATTTTTAACAATTATCGACACCATAAACAAGTAATATCCATTGATCGAGTTATTTATTAATTGTTTTTATAAATTCCTATAAATTTTACCTTTGTATCATAAAAAAGTAGAATACAAAGTATAGAAGAAATATTACAATTAAAATATATAAACTACGTTTATAAGTTTAATCATCAATATTTTTATTACAATTTTTTTTTAACAATCTAATTGTTAAAATTTACGTTGATAGTTAAATTATAGAACACAATTACAGTTTTATGTTGTTTTAAATGATTTAGACAAAACAGTGTTTGAATAATTTAGAAAATTTAATAATGTCATAATATTGCTCAAACAAAATATTTTACACATTCACTTCTAATGCAAAATCCTATTTTTCAAAATTTTACTAAATTTGAAAAATAAATTAATAAAGGTTCAGCTAAAAATACCTAAAGAGTTCACCTTTATAAAATAAAAATGCTTGCTAAATACAGTACTGTAGAAATTTATGGACACAAGCTCATAATTATAAAAAACAAAAATTAATTCCAAGTTTTTATATTAAAATTATTATTAAAAAAATTAATAACCACTTGTTGAAATTTGAATAACTAACTATATACAATAAAAACACCTATTTATATTTTATTAATAATATTTTTGTATTGTATATTTAATTTTTTTAATTTTAAAAAAATATTTTATTAGTATTGTGTATTATAACTTAAAGTAAATATTTCTTTGAATTAAGTTAATTGTTTACATACAAAAACTAACTTTTTAAACTTAACTTTTGAAATCTTGGGTTTTGTATTTTATTTTATTTAAAAATATCTTATAAGGGCAACACACTGATTTTCATGGACATTATAAAATTTAATTGACATAGAATAAAGTTCATAAGACATAAGAAAGTAAACTTATTAAAATTTTTTTGCTTTTTCAAAGTCAAAAAAGTAAATTTTAAATTTGACTTAGCTTAAATTGCTAATTTTATCATACGACGAAAGCGACGAACAGTTGACGAATCGGTAACACTTGTGACTTTCACGCTAAGGATACGAGGTTCGCATCTGCCTGTGGCAATTAATATTTTGCATTTTTTTCTATTTAGAAAAAAATTTTCAAATCATTTGATTTTTATCTCATTAAGTTTCATTAACTTCAATAAAAAACCAGCACAGGGGGGTCGCGGCACAGTGGTGACGTGGCATAGTTGGATCAAGTATAATGATATCTGACAGTGATTAAAATCACTATAAAAAAAAAAACGCTGCGATACAAATCTTTAGATAGTGTTTAATTTTAAAAAATTGGTGGATTGTCAAAAGCTTCATAAACTGCTAGTTCCTTATTAATATCCTGATTAAGATAAAGTATGTCGAATGAAAAAGGGATTATTAAAAAATAGTATTTCCCATAAAAAAATTATATTGATCAATACACTTTTCAATAAGTTATAGCATTATAAAGTTAAAAATGTAAAAAATAAAATTGAGAATTTTCACACAATAATAGCATTTGGTAGCCATTTTCACCGTGAAGACAAAATAAAGTCCGAAATTTTTTTTTTACATAATAAAGTAGATTACATTAGCTTTAATTTAATATATATAGAAAAGTGTCAGACTTTCCGGAACACTTTCAAAATTTAAGTTGAAAAAGTCAATTTTTTGTGAAAAAGTTGTCATTTTTAATCCCCCCCTGTAGGCAGGTAAAAAGTCAGATTTATAAAAAAAATATACCAAATGATAGGTAATGACATCATGCATCTATAAAGAAAAAGAATTATATTGATATGTTTATATTTAAAAAAGTTACGGCAGTTTTTAGTAAAGAAAATTGAAAAAATTTCGACAATTAGCGATTTTTAAATTTGTAATTTTTTTGGAGGTTTCCCCCATTTACGGGGAACGAGGGAATTTTTTTTAATTTTTGAGGGTAATGTCTTCAACTAGATACGATTTGTGATCTTTTGACGTATCATTGAAAGAAATCGGTTCGGTGAGAGCTGAAAAAAAGTGGTAACAGACACAAAAAAAAAAGAAAACACATCATTGTAAAACCAATACCTTCTCAGCTTCGCATCGAAGCTAAAATACGGTAGCACAGTGGGGTCACGGCACAGTATGGACGTGGCATAGTTGGGTCAAGTATAGATGATATCTGACAGTGATTAAAACCACTATCATAAGAAACGCTTCAATGCAAATCTGTAGATGTGTTCAATTCTAAGAAATTGGTAGATTATTTCAAAAACTACAATAACTCTTATTCCCTTAATTTTATCCCAATTATTTATTTGATTTATTATTATTAAATATGAATAAATAACATTTTTTGCAATTAAATTTAGTGTGAAATTGATATTCAATAATTTATTATTCTAATTTTTACGGAGATATTATAAAAATAGTACAGTAATAGTATATTTCATTACTTTTAACGCGTATAAAAATTTAAAGAGTTTGACACAATACTTTTCAATAAAAAATGTTTGATACTTATAATAAAGTTATAAGTTTTATACACTGGAGTACAAGGAACTTTCATCAAAAACAAAAATGTACATTTTTAAATCAACTTTTCTCGATGTTTTCATATATGCAATTAAACTTTTTCTATCACTTCTAAGTTTTAATATTATTACTTATTATTAAAAAATAAGTATTTACATATAATAATTAAAAACAAAAAAAAATTGTTTTAAATTAATACTGATTTTGAATAATATGTTAAAAATAAGAAAAATGACATATTTAACCTATTTTGTTAATCCTTTAAAGTTGATTTTTATGAATGTTTATAATAAAACAAATTTATTTATTTTACCATAACTTTTAACTCAATTGGCAAGTTTGAAATTGACATCATTAAATAAAAATTTTTATGAGAATTAATAAAGTTGTATCGTTAAGATTAATATGTAATTAAGAAGTTTTATAATTGCTATATATAGTAAATTCATCAGAAAAGCTCAATATTTTTTTGTATTTTTATCGTAATAGATAACCAATCAAAACAAAGTTATTAAAGAGATTTACTCAATTGAGCGTATTATGATTGTAAAAATCCATTGTTCATTCAGAAGGAACTAAAAAAATTTTTTTTTCTTATATTTATGATTTATGTAGTAACATGTTACGAAAAAAATTGAAATGTTGTAGACTGGTAGTAGCACACACTAATGAGTTAAAAAATTAATAAATTACAAATTAAAATTATAACTTTTGTAGTTGAATACTTTTATCATATCAAATCTAATTCAACAATATTTACTTTAAAAATATTACAATGAATGATTTTAATTGTTTGTATGGATAAAGCTGGTTAAGCTACTTGTTATTTGATTAAGGGATTTTTTTTCAATTTTTGAGGGTAATATCTTCAACTAAATACGAATTGTAAAAATTGACGTATTGTTGAAAAAAGTAGGTTTAGTGAGGGTTGGAAAAATAAATCACAGCCTTAATAAAAACACATAGTAAAATAATATTAACATGAATAAAAATTTCGTCTCACGTAAGGAGACTATAGTAATAGGATCCTTGATATTAGCTTCGATGCGAAGCTGAGAAGGTATTGGTTTTACAATGCTGTGTTTTCTTTTTTTTTTGTGTCTGTTACCACTTTTTTTCAGCTCTCACCAAACCGATTTCTTTCAATGATACGTCAAAAGATCACAAATCGTATCTAGTTGAAGACATTACCCTCAAAAATTAAAAAAAATTCCCTCGTTCTCCGTAAATGGGGGAAACCTCCAAAAAAATTACAAATTTAAAAATCGCTAATTTTCGAAATTTTTTCTATTTTTTTTTCTAAAAACTACTGTAACTTTTTCAAAAATGAACATATCAATATTATTTTTTTTATAGATGCTTAATGTCTTTATCTATCATTTGGTATATTTTTTTTGTAAATCTGACACTTAACCTGCCTACAGGGGGGATTTAAAATGACAACTTTATCACAAAAAATTTTTTTTTTTTTTAACTTTACTTTTGAAAATGTTCCGGAAGGTTTGACACTTTTATATATAAATTGTCTTATGTAGAAAATTTAATTTTATAAAAAATTTACAAATTATTTTCTTTATTCTTAGTATAAGCTTTAATTTAACATATGTTAAAAGAACGTAGAGTTTACAGATTATTTTCAGAAGTTCAGTTTAAAAGTTTTTAATCCCCTTGTGATTCGGTAGAATTTCAAAGAAAATATGCCTAATAAAGAATATATCTAAAGTATTTACAAAAAATTATTAAGATTCATTCATTTTTTAAAAAGTAACGGTAGTTTTAATTAAAAGTTTAAAATATTGAATTTAACAAAACCAATTTTGAAAAATAGTGATTTTTGGGGTAGGTTTCCATTTATGGAAGACAATCACATTATTTCAAATTTTCGAGAGTAATGTCTTCAGCTAGATACAATTTGTGATCTTGTGACGTATCAATAAAAAATATTGGTCCTGTGAGAGCTGAAAAAAAGTTGCAATAGACATAAAAGAATAAACAAATAAACATAGTTAAGTTAATACCTTCCAAGGTTCGCATCGAATTAAAATGTATTACTTTCTATTTATGAAAATTTTCCGAGATGTTGTCTCGTGTATTGAAACATATCGAATTAGAAATGATTTAATGTATTATACAAATAAAAAAAAGAAAAACATTCTGTCAAATTGTAATATGTGAGTAATTGCCTTTTAAGTTGAAAATCATTCAACTATTATATGATATGATATATTTTTTAAAAAATTGTAACAAATTCGCATTGAAACGTTTTATGATTAATTTTTATCATTGTCCAATATCAATCTATACTAATTTAATTAAAATGCTTAGATCCATTTCGCTGGATTCCGACTGAACTCGCCTATATTTTGAACATTTGTATAAAAAACATGTAGTTAGTACGGCATACATTTTTAATTAACAAAATATTGCAGTTCATTCTCTCGTGTAGATAATAAAACAGTAAGTTTTTAGTAACATGATAAAAAATTAGAGAAAAAAAAAAATTCATATGACACAATGGAATTTGTTTATACTTTCAAATAAAATATTTCAAGTAAGTATAATATTATAGAATGCTTAATATTGAAACAATATAATTTCAGTTACGAATCAAAGCTTAAGACAATTTATTAAAATTATAATGTAAATAGTCAACTTAAATGAATATACAAAAAAACATATTTCAACAGAAAACTAATTAAGACAGTCATTTTTAGCAGCATAGTAGATTATATTAGTATAACCATTTTCAGTTGCTTTTAGAATGGTGTCTCTACTCCATGGACAATTATTTTCATGGGCATATTTTAAGCAACGAAATTGACCATTTGCAGCAGCAAGTCTTGTTGTGCTTTCATCCCATTGGCATTTATTTTGGTGAACAAATTTTAGGCAGATTAAATGGCCATTTGCAGCAGCTCCACTCTTTGTTCCTTCATCCCATTTACATCCATTTTCATGTGCATATATCAAACAGTTAATATTACCACCAGCAGCAGCTTCTCTTGTTGTGCCTTCGTCCCACTCACACCCATTTTCATGAGCATACTGTAAGCAGTCTAAATGTCCATTCGATGCAGCGCCTCTCATCGTACCTTCAACCCAACTACACCCATGTTCATGAGCATATTTTAGGCAATCTAGATTACCAAGCACAGCTGCTGCAGCTATTGTATCTTCAGCCCAAGGACATCCATTAACATGTGCATATTTTAAAATATTTATATTATTATTCTGGGCAGCTAATATTGTTATTTTTGCATCCCATTTACAACCATTTTCGTGTGCATATTTTAAACAATTAAAAGAATTATTTGCTGCAGCAACTACAGTTATGTCTTCTTTCCACACACATCCATTTTCGTGAGCATATTCTAAGGATTTTAAAATACCACTAGAAGCAGCTGCTTCTGTTGTTCTTTCATTCCACGGACATCCATTTTCATGTGCGTATTTTAAAATATCCAAATTCCCTTCTTGTGCAGCTATTATTGTAGTTCTCTCATCCCATGGACACCCATTTTCATGAGCATATTTTAAGGATTTTAAATTACAACTAAAAGCAGCTGCTTCTGTTGTTCTTTCATCCCAGGGACATCCATTTTCATGTGCGTATTTTAAAATTTCTAAATTCCATTTTTGTGCAGCTTCTATTGTAGTTCTCTCATCCCATGGACAACCATTTTCATGAGCATATTTTAAGCATTCTAAATTACCACTAGAAGCAGCTGCTTCTGTTGTTCTTTCATCCCACGGACATTCATTTTCATGTGCGTATTTTAAAATTTCTAAATTCCGTATATATGCAGCTTTTGTTGTAGTTCTCTCATCCCATGGACAACCATTTTCATGAGCATATTTTAAGCATTTTAAATTACGACTATAAACAGCTGATTCTGTTGTTCTTTCATCCCATGGACATCCATTTTCATGTGCATATTTAAAAACTTCTAAATTCCCTTTAAATGCAACTTTTATTGTTGTACCTTCATCCCATTTACAACCATTATCATGACAATATTTTAAGCATTCTAAATTACCCCTAAAAGCAGCTGCTTCTGTTGTTCTTTCATCCCACGGACTTTCATTTTCATGTGCATATTTTAAAATGTCTATATATCCATTTTCTGCAGCTATTATTGTTATCATTTCATCCCATGGACACCCATTTTCATGAGCATATTTTAAGCATTCTAAATTACCACTAGAAGCAGCTGCTTCTGTTGTTCTTTCATCCCATGGACAACCATTTTCATATGCGTATTTTAATATTTCTATATTTCCATTTTGCGCAACTATTATTGTTGTTAATTCATCCCATGGACAACCATTTTCATATGCATATTTTAAGCATTCCAAATTACCAATAGAAGCAGCTGTTTCTGTAGTGCTTTCATCCCATGGACAATCATTTTCATGTGCATATTTTAAGCAATCTAAATGACCATGAGAAGCAGCGGCTACTGTTGTTCTTTCATCCCATGGACATTCATTATCATGAGCATATTTTAAGCAATCTAAATGACCCTTAGAAGCAGCGGCTATTGTTGTGCTTTCATCCCATGGACAGCCATTTTCATGAGCATATATTAAGCATTTTAAATGACCATAAGATGTAGCTGCTTTTGTTGTTCTTTCATTCCATGGACAGCCATTTTCATAAGCATATTTTAAGCAATCTAAATGACCCTCAGAAGCAGCTCCTTCTGTTGTGCTCTCATCCCATGGACAGCCATTTTCATAAGCATATTTTAAACATTCTATGTACCCATTAATAGCAGCATACATTGTTATATCTTTGTTCAATTTGTATCCATTTTTACAATCTAATTTTAAAATTTCCAAATTAACATTATCATTATCTTTTCTCATAGAGTTTTCAAGATGGTTTATTTCTTCGTCATCCGAATATTTGTATTGAATTGCTAAATATACATATTTGTTTTATTAGTTTTTGCTGTATCAAAAAATAAAAATTATGACTTAAGAATATCCTAAAATTATGATTGTTTTTATCATTAATCATAATTTAGTCATTCCTTAATATTCGATAAATTACAAAATTTTGTATGAATACATTATTATTAAAAAAAAAACGGTAGCACAGTGGGGTCGAGGCACAGTGTGGACGAGGCATAGATGGGACAAGTATAGATGATATCTGACAGTGATTAAAATCACTATCATAAGAAACGCTTCGATGCAAATCTGTAGATAGTGTTTCCTTTAGAGAAATTGGTGAAATATTTTAAAAGCAACATGAACTCTTATTTCTTTAATTATATCCTGATTAGTAGTTCTTTGATTTTAAAATATAATATATGAATAAATACTAATTATAGTTTTTAAATTTAGTATGAAATTGTGAGGCCAGCTATGATGTATGGAAGCTTAGGATAAGGGTGGCCGACCCCAAGTAGTTGGGATTAAGGAAAAAGAAAAATATTACCAGAAATTCCGGTGGCAATTGACATAATATGATTTATGATACACACATATGCATTTTAACATTGTGTCTAACGTAAGTGTAACATGATAAAAAGTAACCGTAAAATGAAAAAAATAGAATATAAATTTTCGTACTCATATTAAATGTAATGTAACTCGAAAAATATTTGTTTAAATGAAAAAATATAAGATAATTTTTTTGTTTATAATTGTCTTTTAAACAACTTTTGTACGAAACTTTTTTTTGTAAGTTAAATATTTTTTGAGAAAATTAAAAAAACTCATATTTTTTAATTTTTGCGAGGCTGTAAAAAAAAAAAGCTCAATTCCAATCTTGAGGACTATTAGTATGTCATAATACATATTTTAATTCAACTTTTAAAAAAACAAAATTTGTTTGGAAATTTTTTCCGCAATTTTTCCTTTGTTGAATGGCCTAGATGTCAATTTTAAACTTGTAATTGAGCTAAAAGTTATGGTAATATATTCAATTTTTTTTACTATAAACTTTCATAAATCTTTATCAAAAATTTTTCATCCACTTTAAAGTACCCAAAAAATAGGTTAAAAATGAAAATTTGGACTGATATGTTAAAAATAATATTAAAAATCAAATCAGTAATAATTTGAAAACAATTTTTTTTTCTTTTAATTATNCTGGAAGTGTAAATGTGAAACCACAGACGATTTCTGCAAGCAAAACGCCTAAATCATGTTGGACCCTTGCTTTAAAGTCTAAAAATATTAAAAATAATACTTTTACTCAACATTCCATCTTATGTGCCTTAATAGCAGCTTTTATTGGTCGATGTAGTCGCTCAACCAACTCATTTGCAACAGTGTGGTACACTGTCGTGCGAAATTCTTTTCATGCCTAATAGTGAAGCAAAAAATTTTAAATACTAGAAATTGGAATCGCCCGCCTCAGTCATTTGTAAAATTGAAAGGAACGTTATGACGTGCAATCCAACCGCCAAACAGTGCTAGCGTTCCGGTTTTAGTTTTTATTTCCAGTAATGGAAAAGCGTGGCGAGGGGCGGTGTGGCCGAGTCAGTAACGCGGCAATGTTTGACGCTTCGGGTTCGAAACTCGATACGGTCGGTTTCATTTGCTGAGCGAGAGATCACTTCGGCTTATGGAATTGCCATCCTCCGGCGACGGACGATCCACCCGTTCCGGAGTATTAATGGTTAAGAGAGCCTTAAATTTCGCGGGTTTGGAGAGAAAAAAAAATTTTCATCATGTTGATACATATGTCCCTGATGTATAATAAAGTTTTTCAGCTGGACTACATTTTAACTTTGTCAGTGGCAGTCACTAAGGTTAAACGTGTTTTTATGATTTTCATTTGTTAAAAATAATGAATCAAAGGATTTTTATCAAATTTTGCGTAAAAAATTAAATAAAGTATGACAAAGTTTGTGAAATTTTAACAAACGTCTATGGTGAGTCTGCCATGAGTAAAACAGGGGTTTACGAGTGGTACCAGCGTTTCCAAGATGTCCGTAAAAACGTTGTAGATGACGAAATCTCCGGATGACCTAGCACATCAACAGCCAATGAAAACATGGAAAAAATGAAAGAAATGTTAATGAGCGATCACCGAATCACAGAAAAGTGGCTGATGATGTTGGAATATTGATTGTCTCATGTCATGAAATTTTTTCAAGTCAATGACAATACATTATTACTGAAACTTGATATAGCAGGTGACGAAACGTGGGTTTATGGATATGACGTTGAAAGTAAGGCTCAATCGTCCCAGTGAAGTCATTCTGGATCGCCAAGACCGAGAAAAGCTCGACAAGTACAATCAAACGTAAAGGTGTTCTTCTTTTTTAATAACATAGAAATACATGTATTCTTGCCACGAGGTCAAACGGTCAATAAAGAGTACTACCTACAAGTTCAACGCCACTTGCATGAAGAAATAAAAAAAAAAAACGCCCGGATTTGTGACAAAATAATTCATGGGTTTTGTACCACGATAATGAACCTGCTCACACTTCATTGCTTGTTCGTGAATTTTTGGCGAAAAACAATAGTATAATGATACTCAGCCTCCGTATTCGCCAGACATGGCTCTGTGTGACTTTTTTTATTTCCACAAATATTGTAGTGAATCAAAAAAAAGAAGAAATTATTTAAATAGTTTAATACTTTAATAATTTATTGTGTTAATTATGATATAATAATTAGGAGGGGTTATTGATTTAGGGAGCTACTTTGACAGTTGCTCAAAAGAAATAAGTTAAATAGAATATGACGGGATTTTGATTCTTATTTGATCCACTACTTTATTGTATTAATAATATTATTACTCGGGATATGAGTACGAGGGTCTGTAAGAAAGATAGAAGATGATAGAAAAATAAAGTGATCTTTATTTTATTAATATGGGATTTATCATAATTAATTGTCAATTCTTAAATATCAATAATGCCACGAGTTTTGACGGTTATCGATGATAGGTGGGATTGAGTCACCTCGTGTGTCTACCCAGAGTGGTATGGTGGCTATACATATGAACCTCCAACCTAACTCCTGAAATAGACACGTATCAACGATATAACTCTGCCAAGTAACTCTGTACAAACATTATCGATTTATTAAATTTACTTGGTATATTTATTATTATTGATAATCACTTGATTTTCCTGTATGCCTACTTAATCTATATACTCATAATATTTAATTTTAAACCTTATTTATTTTTGGTGAATTTATTAGATTCCTACCTCGATAATTTCTGCTATACTCTTAAATAAATAGATTTTGTATTTTGTGAACAAATATAACTGTGTTGACGGCGGATCACTTCTTGCATATGTTTCGTAGTGTGGAATGGTCGAGCGTAGTGAGTGCCTCTGTAAGTATCTGATTGCATCTGTCTTAGAATGCTCTTTATTTTTGGCTTTTTATATTAAATTTGACCGTAGTTCAAAGGCAAGAAGTAATCCCCGACGTCACCGTTATTTCTTTATTAATTGTAATTTATTACATGTTATTTATTACATTTTCATCAATAATGATCTACATATTATAAAATACAATCATATCTCATATAATAATTTAGACATAGTTTATTACCCTTCATCTTATGTGCTACCATTACATATTGTTTATTATTTCCTGTTTGTTTTATCTAATTAATATATACTCTTTTTCTACGAAATTTCATTAATATTTTTAAACATTTAAAAGGTACATATATATATATATCTTATTTTTATTGGTATACATTTTATTTTGTGTAATTGATTGATTGAAGTCTTAAATAATACATTATGACATTGATGATCTATTGTGTATACAAATAATTTATTATAATATTAATGATGTACTATGTATATCATTACAATAAAGAGAACCTTAAAGCACCGTCGTTTTACAAGCATAGATGACATTAAAAGCTGATCGCTAAATGAGCTAAAGGCTATCCCTAAGATCAAGTTTGAGAACTGTTTCGATGATTGAAAGAAGTGTTGGTACAAATGCTGACACTAGTTGATGTTGAAATAAGAGAGTGGCGTCGATCCGTTTATTGATTTTAAATAACACAGGAAACAAACAGAATACGCACAAAATACTTAGACTAAATTGATTGAAACTAACAATAAAATGCAAATTATGAGGTGCCGAAGTAACGATTCAAACTTTTCGGTATTCGGGAAGACGATCATGTATCGGTATCACGATGATAACTTGCTGTCGTGGTGTCAAGAGATAACTAACTGGACGTATTATTGCGGCGGGGTATCCGACGCTAGGCATTTGTTGGACTTTATACCACGACGATAACGCGTGTGTGTGACGGTCCGGTTACAGTGAAGCGGTGGCTGAGAAGGAGCTGACACGACCGCGGGGTGTCAACGTGTGACAACGCCGTGGCCGTGTCAATGCATAATATATAATAGGAACTTTTTTGAAGGCGAAAATATTAATGTAAATGAATAAATAAATATTTTTTTCCAAAAACGAAAATTCCCATTACTTTCTGAACACTCCTCGATTAATTACGAGTAAATTTTTAACAGTAAATTTATGAAAAAAGCTAAAAATTACAATTTTTTACATTTTTATCATAGCAAATCATTTCTATGAAACATGCAGATCTTAATTAATAGTTTTAATTATTTAAAAATTATTTATATTGATGTAGTGTACATAATACGTGCTGCTTGTTACGTACTCTTTGAATTAAAATATATTACTACGTAATCTTATAATCAAACATAAATATTTTTTATATTAATTAGAATGATTTTGTTATAATTTTTGTTCATTAGCAAAACTAATGTTGTTTTTTTGTGTTTGTCATCTAATATACAGGTTGATTTTTTTATCATAACCCACTCAATTACTTACAGAATAATAATAAATTAACACATTTTTTTTTCAATTATCTTTAGTTACACATCATTCTTGAATTATTAACTATGTAATACTTTTTAATTTCATCCCTTATGCCTGGTAA